TTTATCAAAGATTTCTGTTTCATTGTGTTTCCGATGTTTTTGGTGCTCAGGCATGCCATAGGAAATTGTGCTTAAAAGGTGTCATGTTCCTACTTTTAAAACCAAACAATGAATTCTTAAGGTCCTTCGCCACAATTTTTTTAAATATAAATGTTTAAAAATAAAGAGAATGAAAAAATAAAAATGAAAAAACATACAAGATTTGCATGATTAAAATAGACATGATACTGATAATAATAAAAAGGAGATTACAAGAAATAAAAGATGAAAAATTTAAAAAAAAAAAAAGCACTAGTGCGTTTGTTATTGCTGTTCTACTAAGACCTGGCACTCTACTGATTATTAGAGAACTTCAGCGCTTTCTATTGAATGCTTAGAGCACTAAGGGCACTGTGTTAAATCTACTAAAAGATAAAAAGAGTTGCACAAAGCGAAATAAGGGATGACATAGGGTTTTGTACTAAGCAAGTAGATTTTAGAATATTCAAAGAGATTATTAAAAAGGTTGTCTATAGTATTTAAAATTTGAAAAAAGCAATGGCTTCCCTCTTATAAGTACAAAGTGATAGTTTTCTTCATGTTTTATGTTCGATTTTTAGGGCTACTAATTATAATTTTTTTGAGAACTTTCTCCACTTTCACTTTATTGGAGTGGTGTTATTTAACGAAGTCTTTTTATAACTTCCTCTCTTTTAGACCACTTGAGTGAACTTGGGTTAAAATTATCATTCTTAGTCCAAATAGTTGGTCGTGGGTCAAAATTAGATTTTAGCCAAACATATTGGTTATATATAATAAGAACTAAAATCAAAATTTTTGTATATTTTTAATGCGTCTTTTATTTATATATGTACATAAAATTTAAAATTCATTTTTTCAGAAACAAATTGCGAGTTCCATTAAATTTTACATTGTTATTGGTAATTCGATGCTTTTAATTACAACATAAACAACATAGTAAGATTTTTTTCTTTTCGCAGCATTAAGTGCCAAAATTAAATGCTAAGATTTTAACCAAAAAAAATTGTGAAGATTATTGACGTTTTAGAGAGAAATTCTTGCATTAACCTACAACACCATATCATCCATATATATTCTATTAAACATAACATATTAGATAGTTGTAAATATAAATTAATTCTATTATTATTAATGACAAAAAGAGAAAAGATAAGAAATTAAAGAAGGTGCTAAAATTTCTAATAAACAAGAAATTAAATATGGTGATGCTCGGTGTATGAATATTGAGAACAACTTAATTATTAGTAAATTATTGTATTATATATACAAAATGATAAGTGAGCAATTTTAATTATGAATTATTTTTCAGCATTCAGTATCCTATATTACAAAATAAATCAACAAATAAAACGGTGGCACCTAGCACCCTTCGTCCAAACGATGCTAATGGCCGTCTGTTCAACCTGTGGGACCCACGATGATTTAAAACTACCTCCCACTTTTTCATTTTTCCTCCCTTCCACTCTCTTCATTTCCTGATTGGCTTTCTCTCTCTTCTCGAACCTCCAGTGTCCTAACTTCAACAATGTTAGTTATCTCAGAACTGGCATAAAAAGCTCACACACTCTCTTGCATAATTCATCCAACCACTAAAGGCATATTGTTAGTTAGATTTAAGTCTACTTTTTACTCTTAAAACATTAATTCCTCTTCATGTTCAATGATCTCCTTCTTCCTGGCCTATTCTTGAGCTCTTAAAACAAAGCTCTATGTATCTTCCTGCCAAGTTTCATGCATGAGTGAACTGATGAGAGTCAATCTCATGGTCGGTGGCATTCAAGTGAACCTCCATCATTTCATCTGCATGGGAGCTGACGAAGTTAAGCTTGTCGAGATGGTCACTTGTTGGCTATCTGGCTCTCTCATCATTGCTTTCGTTGATGGTGGCGAAACTATCTAGCACCATCGTCGTAAACAGAGGCTGCTCGTTTGTATCATATAGTTCTCCCATGTTTATGACTTACACACTTGATTCCCTAAAGTTCGTCGAGAACAATTGCAACACCTCCTCCTCCTCCATCACCAGAAACCCACTGCGAGCACTCCACGCTGGAAGGTCTGAGCCTTAGAATGCCAATGGTAGGGGTCCAACAATGGGTTGACCACTTGACAGATGCAAAGTTTGTGGAGTACATGTGGAGGCAGGCGCGAAGCCAAGATTTAAACAAAAAGAGGGTCAAGATTAAAAAATATACACATTATAAAGTCTTTATAAATTTTAAAGAGATCGAAAGTATATAACACTTATATAATATAAAAAAATTTTAAAAATTGGGGAGGCCACAGATCTTGCTGGTCCTCCTTCCTTTCACCAATGTGTGGAAGGTGATTGTGAGAGTGAAGCAAGACTAATATTTTAAAAATTGAATTGGTCATTAAATCGAACTAGCCAATAGTTTACGGTTTATTGATTTAACTGTAGTTGAATCAGTTGACATTAAATTAATATATTTTTAATTTATGCATTATAATTAAACAAAAATATATGCAAATATTTATATTTTTCAAAAAAAATTAATAAATGCTTGATAAAATGATATATTGTCAATGAATATATGATTAATATTAATTATTCTTAGCTATTCTTTGTTTTAATTAATTTTTAAATTTTTAAATAATTCAAACTGGTTTTTAAGGGAATTGGTCCAATTTTCAACAGGTTTTTTCGGTCGTTGATCGGTTTCATTGTAGCCAATTTTGAAGGGTCAACCAAACTTGATCAAGAGCCGATTTTTGATTTAATCAGTTGAAATGATCAATTCAATTTAGTTTTTAGAACCCTGAAGAAGACACATGAAGGGTCATGAAGAAACAATAGATTATGAAGCGTGTAGAGATGGTGATGGAAGGTGAGAGAAGTGAAAACATAAGGGTCTAAAAGGATCTCAAGAGCCACAAGGGCTTTAGATTGAGCAATGGACAAGTAAAATATATTGTTATATCCAGTCAGAGAATCTTCACCGACCACCAAGATGGAAAGATTGGAGTATGGAGGGAGGGAGGGGAGAGAGGGTTTGATGGAGGTGCCATTTATCAAACTGTGTGGAGCCCATTATCTTGAATAAATGACCGTTGGTTTAAAATAGACGGAGGTGGTTAGCACTGTGATTTAAATAGTTAATAATTAATTTTTATCACCTCATAATATATGATACCAAATACTTCTTAAAAAATAATTTGCAACTTTACCTTACATAAAATATATGAGAAATACAAAATTTATAAATATTTAATATTTATAAATGTTTAATGAAGCTGTTATAAAACACATTTATAAATTATTTCAAAATAGGCATACATATCAAAATTCATAATAACATATAACTATAAATTACTCCATCCATCCTTATATATAATATATTTTTAAATGAATCACACAACTAATAAAAATTAGTTATGTAATTAAAAACACATCAATATTCTAATTTTTTTAATTATTATAAATAAAAAATAATCTCTTTTTTTAAATTAAATTAATAAGAGTATTTATTTTTTTCTTTTTAATTTAATAAGGGTATGATGGTTCATTCATTAAAAAATATGCTAACAATTTTTTATATTTAGGGACAAAAAAAGATTCTAAAATTTTTTTTATCTGTAACGATGGAGGGAGTAGATACGAATACTTACAAGTGATTAAAATTGTATAATGCATATTGATAACTAATTCAAAGAGCTTATTACCTTGGAGAAAACTAGAGAGATAAGAATTAACGAGTGAAAAAGTCTCTCGAGTCTCTTTCTACCACATAAAAAAAGTCTCTGAGTCTTTGTTTTCATTTTCCACCTGAGAAAAGTCTTTGCTTTTTTGTTTTTCCATTGCTGTGAATTGTCTTTGTTAAGCGTATTGATATGTAAGCATTTCATCATCAATCTATTATTTTTATTACTTCAATTTTTTTTTGGCAATCATTAGTTTTAATTTTTTTATCTGACAGAACGTTTTATTTTTGTGATTTGTCATTAAATTTTATTTTATTTTCCGTTATTTTAAATCATTTCATTTTAAGTTGTGCAAACTTTTTCTACCAGATATTTTTATGAAAAAATGATAATTAGATTTTAAAATATTAAATTAATATCAGTTAAATTTTTAATAAATTTTTTTAAAAAATAAGTTAAAAATATCAGTTTAAATTATTACAAATCTAGAAATTTTAATTGTAAATAAATATTTAAATATCAAATGTAACTTTTAAATTATAACAAAAATTTTTATTTATAATTATTTGAATTGATATTTATAATTTATTTTATAAAAAATTTTGTTGAGAATTTTACTATCATTAATTAATTTTTTGAAAACCTAACTGTCATTCTCCCTATTTTTATTTATTCCTTTTAAAAATTTGAGCAGTAAAATTAATAGTCAAATTGAAAAGAAATAAAATTAAGATACAACAATGGGAAAAAAAAAAGCTAAGCTGTCAATTAAAATTAATGACTATATTATTTAGTAAAGAGAGTAAATTAAAATTAAATTATTAATAAAATTAATAACTAAATTTAAAATAGATTTAAACTACAAAAATCACATTTAAAAGATTAAAAATAAATTCAATTTTGAAAACTCATATGCATATATTCATTTGATATTTAAGGATTTCTCTTTCCCGAGCTGTTAAAATCATTTATTAGAGTTGGAAATTTAAGATTTTAAATAACTACTTGATTTTAAAACTGGTTTGAAAAATAATCTGGCAATGAATATTGTTTAAAAATCTCACTAACTTACAAAAAGAAAAAAAAAAAACATGGTTTGAACTTTGAAAGAAATAGGAAAGTACCAAACAATTCCATAGTCCAACTCAGACCGACGATATGTCTCCACCAAATGAAACGCCCAGATTCTTCAGCTCTCAATCAATCTGACGGTTCAAAATGCGTCCTTGCTAACTCACACTTATCGACAAACAACGGTCTCAAAACGTCCACGTGTCCTCATGATAAAGCGTTATTAACGCCCTGATCCAACGGACCCAGCTCATTCCCTTCCAAACTTCCAAAACCTCTTCTTCTTCTTGCTTCTCCTCTCGCCGGAGACGCAGCCAATCGCCTGCCGATCACTACGACCTGCCTCCCGACTGCGCTTTTCCATTCATAAGGCACACAAACTCCGACTTTAACTCACTGCAGTGGCATCGGATTGCAATTCGTCGAGAATTCCTTCAAGTCAACGCATATTCTTCCTCCGTTTCATCTCCGCCGACGAATTTAGAGACGGATTTGTGTGCTGAGTTTGAACGTCTTAAATGCGTTCATTGTAGTTATTTCGAAAGATATCTCGAACTGTGGATTCGTTCTCGGTCCAATTTTCCGGAGCTTAAAACTATTGTCCGGAGATATTGGTCGATTTAAATTTTACTAGAATTGCATGATTCAAGAACTGGAGGCACTGAATTTCTCATTTCTGATTCCGAGAATCACTCTCTGCTCTAGTGCTTGAATTCCACGCTGAGTCGATAGATTCGAGTTTGGTTGAGTCGTCGATGGCGGACTCGGACAACGACTCCGGAGGTGCTAATAACGCAGGGAGCAATGCAAACAGCAGCGAACAATCACTGCGAGAGCAAGACCGGTTTCTACCAATCGCGAATGTGAGCAGGATCATGAAGAAGGCTCTTCCAGCGAACGCGAAGATCTCTAAGGACGCCAAGGAGACGGTGCAAGAGTGCGTATCGGAGTTCATCAGCTTCATCACCGGCGAGGCCTCCGACAAGTGCCAGAGAGAGAAGCGGAAGACCATCAATGGCGACGATTTGCTGTGGGCTATGACGACGTTGGGATTTGAAGACTACGTGGAGCCGCTCAAGATATACCTCCAGCGATTTAGGGAAATGGAAGGCGAGAAGAGCGTTGCGGCGCGTGACAAGGACGGCGGGATTGGAGGCGTGAACGTCGTTAATAGTGGCTTCGAGGGCGGAGGGGGCAGTGGTGGTGGTGGTGGTGGAGTGTATGGAGGAGTAGGGATGATGATGCATCAGGGACACGTGTACGGCTCTGGTGGGTTTCATCCAATGGCTGTGAGTGGAGGAAGTGGTGGTCCTGTGATGGGTAAGAGTGGACCCAGCTATCCCGGTGCGGGATCTAATGCAGGTAGGCCCAGATAGATAAAATATATATTATATGGTTTCCATAGTTTGTGTTGCATAATTTGTTTAAAGACTTGGTAGTTTATTGGTTTGGTGCTTGTAATTGTATTGCTATAAAGCAGAAGACAATATTAATTGATTTTATTTTATGGCATTGTAACTGTTGCATAAAAGAAAACAGTGCCTTCTTGTCGCTAGTGTAGCTTAATATAGTTTCAACTAGTTTCTTCAATATTATTATTTAACAAATCTTAATAAATTAGATATGCTCTATTCATATTTAGAAAAAAAAGTAAAATAAAAGGAGTTGTGTATGGGGTATGCATGCTGCATTATTTTCATGATCTCCTTTTGTATTGTTGTCTAAGGGTAGCACTTAGGAAATTGGAAACACCTTCATAAATTGGGGAGCAAGAATGTATGTGGTATGTACTTTTATGTCTTTCAAGTGATATAATGGGAAGGTGAAGAAATAGATTGCTAGCTATGCCCTCAATTTATTTATTTATTTTTTTTTGTTATAGTACAATATTAGGAAGATAAATATAGATTTTCGTTCTCTGTATTACGGTTATTAAAATCTTTTTGCTCTTATTTTTAGTTCATTTTTTGTCCTTAACTAACAAATAAACTATTGGACATATATTCTCGTTTCATTTTGAATCAGATCAATCATATTTTTTTCTCATTTTATTTTGCTTATTATTCTTTATATTATCATAACCTTCAATGATATGCTAAATTAGTGATAAATGAGTGACATGGATTTATTTTCATGAGCATAGAGATTTAAGATTCTGATGAGACGTTTCATCAATTCGAATAAAATCAGCCAGATATGGATAGATGATCCCCCCCGTTGCAGAATCTTAATAAAAAGAATTTGCAAGTGACCGACAGACTCATGTTAACGTAAGTCGCACCCGTTCTTTAACTAAATACTCCCTTGATCTTATATATAAGTTAGAGAGAAACTATTGATTTTGTTCTTATTTTGTAAGGCACTTTATTATAGTTTATATTCATATTTACATTATTGTTCTTATTAGATGTTAGGAAAAACTATTAAAAATAATTATTTTTTTCTTATTAAGAGTTAAAAGTGAAAACTTATTAACTTATAAGGTAGAGTTAATAAAATTTAAGTTTTAATTTAATTTTAATTAAACATATTAGAAGTGGCATAAAAATAATTTCTCTGATTCTATTTATTGACTAAAGAGAGTATTGGTATTACTAATATTTATATGACACATCAATATTTATTGTGTTCACCTTTATATTTTTGCACTATTAAATGTTACAAAGATTATTAAATATTAGAATATTTTTTTAAAAAATATATATATTTAATAAGAGTAAAGTTAGAGACTTGTTGAATTTTTAAACAAAATAGATAGGATTTAATGTTTTTGTTAGTTTTAATAAAAATATTAGGAATAACTTATAAATAGAATAATGATCCCACAAAATAGTGGGGAAGAATTAGGAATGGCTATTATATATATATATACATATATATATATATATATGAAAAGCTACCTTGACGGTTGACATAATGTCTCAAAATTATGGCTTCTATGTACACCCGTGGTCTTAATTATATAGGATGTAGTTGGGGAGTTTCTTTTATCATAAATATAAGACGCCAATCTCCTTTGCTTTTTATATTTATTATTTTTCTCTCAAACTACTCCCATTGATTGTACACATGTCAATAGGGATATTCCAATATTCTCTCCAAATTAAAATATAAAATATTAATAATTAATTCATGATTTTTAAAAAATGTTAGTTGAAATTTTAATTTTTTTAAAAAATTTACATCTTTTAAATTTTATCCTTATTAAATACTCTATATAAGTTATTTAATAATAATAATAATAATAATAATAATAATAATAATAATAATTTCAATATTATCATTTTTTTGACAATGGGCAATAAATAAAGTAGAGGTATAGTTAAAAAAATAATTATAAAAATTATCCAATGTTTTGTATTTTAGATCAAATGAAATTTTTAAAATATGCCTTATATTTTGATCCAAAGAGGATAAATAATTAAAAATATGGATATATAAGAGAAACCGACACACATTTCTTTTACAAACAACTAACTTAACTAATTTTTTAAATCCATGTGAATTAGTTGTTTAACTCCCACACTTAACCAATCCGATGAAATTACCATAATGAATCATACGTCCCAAATATAACAGATTTTTCAAGGTCAAAAAAATATAACTGATTTTATGTGTTTATTATTTAATGACTAATTTTAATTTTCTATATATCATAATTTTTTTTGGGAATTTTCAGTTTATTTCAAAAGTGAGTTGTTTAGTAAATTGCAAGAGTTATAAAAACACTGTACGGTAATTATATGGCTGTTTGAATATTGAGGTGGCATTATGCATTAGTGTAAAGCATCTAATTTAGTGCGGAATAGACTTTATCCACAGAGACGTATCTATTCCATCTTTTTGTTTTGACCAACATCTATTCGATCTAAATGCAAAAATAATTCAAAAACAATCACTTTTATTTTCAATTTGGTTCCTGTAGTTTCAAATTTTTAAATGTATTATACTGGATATAACCAATGCATGTTTTTGACTTTAATGCAAGTCCAGGTCCAGCCAATGGTCCCATATAATTGGGCTTTTCTTGCTAAGCTCAATATAAGTTATTTAAAAAAATTAATCTTTTAACTCTTTAACTTTTAATTCATTTATAACTCAATTTCTTAACTATAATTCTATGCAAATCAACTCAGTCCTTCAATAATAAATCACTTATATTTCAATCTCTCAACTTTTGACTTACTTATAACTTAATTCTTCAATATTTGTTATTTCTCTTTTTTCATGTATAATTGATGGATTGAGTTGTAGCAAGTTATAATTGAAGGATTGAGTTACAAATAAGTTAAAAGTTAAAGAATTAAAAAATTAATTTTTTATAAGTTATTTATGGGGCAAATTTTTTGTTTTTAGATATAAATTTATAGGGCAATTTTGTGATAAACTAAGGATGGCCAAGTGTCACAAGGTTGGACTTTGAAGTTTAAACCTATGCAAACACTTAATTTGGTCCATAAGCTTGACTTTGTTATCCAAAGTCTGGGCTAGGGTTTAGCCCATGGTCTAGTTTAAGCCAGTTTATTTTGAAGCTCGTATGTACCAGAACGTACTCTACATGCTTAATTTATCGGATGTTCTCGAAGGGACTATACATGTTTAATTTATCTGCTAAGGATTTGAATACAGTGAATGACAATGAATGTCTCACGTTACATGATAACAATATAACTATTTGATTTTATTAAATGGTGTTGTTAGAAATTTTGTCACGTAATATTCAAAAAACACCAAATCTTAAATTTTTTGAAGGTACATTATACATGGAAAGCATTTTAATTTCAATGGTTGTTTTGAAATTTTTTAAAGAAATGTATCTTGATGATTTTTAAATGTTGATAAAGTTTAATAATCATAATTAGGAGGTGCCAATTTATCCGTAAACCTGGCCATGCCTACCTGATCCATAGCCAAATAGGTCAATCAGTACCCGTTCATGAAGTGAAAAAAAAGAGTATGGGCAGGTGCCCATCCGTATGACAAACAAAATAATATATAATAAAAAATATAACATCCATCAATATTATATCATTTTTATTCAAAATATATATAAGTGTTTCATAATTCATAATTTATAACTTTAAAATATATATACATATACATAATTTATACATATTTTATACATTTTTTTATTTCATAATGCTTATTAGGTATAAATACGTATAAATTATGATTTAAAAATATGAATTAAAAATAAAAAATTTAAAAATAATATAATTAGTTCAACCGGTTCGTGGAAAGTTATGTTGGTTTGTGGCCGATTCTCAAAATTTTTGATTTTTTGTGATGACCGGACTGAACTTGGGATTAGTTCTTGGTTGAACCGGTTGGACCAACCGATCTGATCCGATTCTAATAACACTGCTTTCAATCCAAAACCAAAACTTTCCACACTTTCCTTTTTTCGTTTTTACTCTTCTCTGTTTTGCCGTTGCCCTTGCGTATCTGTATCTGTCTCTGATGTTGAAAAATGAAAACCTGATTGGGGAATCATCAATGTCTGCTGTTAGAACAGAGCTTGATTTGGCAGTTGGCACCACCCAGGCCCAGCATTTTGCCTGTAGCCTTGTGGAATTGGATGAAATTTCTTTAACTAAAGTTAAGTCATCGCATTTACTGAAGATACTGTCAGAAGCTTCTTGACAGAGATTCAAACCATCAACAGCATCAGCATGCATACTTGTACCTATGCCACATCCATTACAATTATTGATTGTCAGCTTGGAAATAATAGAACGTGTTCCTGCAACTATGGACTATGGTTAATGTAATTGTAGATTGATTTCGTATTTATTGATTAAATATAGATTTAATTATAGATTCATTGATTAAATATGAAGTAATAATTGTAGGTTGATTTCATATTTATTATGATTACTATGGACTATGGTCAATGTAATTAAATATTATGTAATCATTGTAGATTGCTTGTATTATTCTTCTAGCAACTTGTTGCTTGGCTATTTTATATTTCTCTCTATTAATTGATTTTTTTTTTAAAGTAAGTGGGTGTTGTGAGTTAAATGGGTGGCTCGTACCTGCTCATATTTGTTTGCACCTGTTTTAAAATGAGTGCAAACAGGTATATACAGGTACGGGTGGGTTATCACTTGTTTAGCTAAAAACAGGTGGGTAACAGATAAAGTTGTGAGTGGCCTGTATTTGTCTGTGTACACCCTTAATTATAATTGAGACACTTGTTGAATGAGTAAATACATGCTACTCATCATATTCAAATCCCTGTCACATGCATTGAGTGAGTTTCACCATGCGGCTTTATCTCAACCGTTAGATCAGATCAACGGTTAAAAGTAAAGTTGGGATAAATTCATCAAACTATGTGCAAGCTAGCAAGGGCCAACATTTACTCCAATCTTCTCTCTCCCCCTCGTTTACATTATGTGATATGATTTTTTGCACACCCATTTCCATATGTTCAATTTCTGGTTGCAATTTAAAGGCTATTTTTTATTTTTCATCAAGACCCACATTACTCAAGTTATTCAAATCCAATAACTCAAAAATCCATTCATCGATGGGCGAAGTCACATTGAGTTGAGAGGGTGCAAATGTACCCCCCACTTTGAGAACAACTATAAATAGAGTATATAAAATTTATAACTTTGCACTTTTGATTCTTAATATTTTGTATCTTCTGAGTTAAATGAAAAATATAATATTTTAATAATTTAAATAAAATATGAAGAGCATATTTATAATAAAAGATTATATCAATTTATTCAACGTAAGTTTTTAAAAGTAAAAAATGATGAAAAAAATTATTTATATTATTATAATTTTAGTTCTAATATAGTTATTATATTTTTTAAAAATATTAATTTTTTAATAAATTATGTCACATCCCTGGCTTGGGATCCTAGTTTCGCCACTGCCATGCATACCCAATCTAAGTTGCAGGAACTCACACAAGTGATGTTCATCTTCTAGATCACCATCCTGTCGTTGAGAGAGATAGGAAATTCCCTATTGTTGGAGCTTTCTCGTTCTCGTCATCACAATCTCGTGATTTGCCATTTTAGGAAGATGGTCTTGTGGTTCTCAACGTCAACGTTGGACATCTCTCTTGTCTCTCGCTAATCCCTATCTGAAAGTCACTCTCTCTTTTTCAGAGGAAGGCGAGTTTTGTTCAAAGAAATAGAGATGGATTTTGTGCTTCATGTCTCTAGTTGCTCCAGCTGCTCTTAAATCTCTCAGTCCATTGAATTAATGTAGCAATAGAGATAACCCCATGTGGCGACATTCACTCAATACATATGTCATTGGGACATGGACTGAATCCAAATCTCGGTGCATGACCATCTTCTTGATGAGTTTTAAGAAAATTAGTTTTATAAAAATTTAGGAATATTGTATTTCGAAACTCATGCTCAATTAGGATGAAAGTAGGTCTCTTAACTCAAATATTACTTAATTACTTTCATAATTATCTGTCAATGAAATAGTAGAATTTTACCTCCTACTTTTGTAGGCTATATATGAAATTAAACCAATCAATCATTAATCAATTTAATCAGTTTTCATGGGCTTGGTTTTAACTTTTAAGGGACATATAACTTTTAGTCTCTTAAATTTTGATTCAATATAATTTAATCATTGTAGTTTATAGAGTTAAGGAATCGTAAGGACTGAATTATATTGAATCAAAAAAACTTTTTAAATTAGAGAAAAATTGATAGGAATCCTCTCCATGTACCAAAATAAACTTACAAAAACAGTTCACCGACAAGCCACCATGAACAATCTGACGTGAGATAATTGCAGTATATACAATAGAAACATTATAGTCACAGACAATTTGACAGTGACAAAACATGATTCAACAAACTTTCACCAACACACCACACAGCAAGCCAATTTCACCCACACACAACAAGCATGATCAGAAACTCATGTGATCTCTCTCTCACACACACTTTATAAACCCCAAGTTCTTCACCACCACCACCACCATTATCATCATCATTATCATTACCACAACATGGGAAGCATCACGGAGATGCAGATGCAGGAGGAATTCATCTTCCGAAGCCCTCATTCCGGGGTTGTTCCGGTCCCGGAGAACGTGACGCTGCCGGAGTTCGTGCTTCAGAACTCAGAGTCATACGCCGACAAGGTGGCGTTCGTGGAGGTCGGGAGCCGGAAGGAGATAACGCACGGGCAGGTGGCGAGGGACACAGAGAGGTTTGCCAAGGCGTTGCGATCTTTGGGTGTGAGGAAAGGACATGTGGTGATTGTGGTGCTTCCGAATGTTGCTGAATATGCGATTATTGCATTGGGGATTATGGCCGCCGGCGCAGTGTTTTCCGGTGCCAATCCGGCAGCTCATGTTTCGGAGATCAAGAAGCAGGCTCAATCTTCTGATGCCAAGCTGATTGTCACCAATGGACTCAACCATGAAAAGGTGATTCGCTCATTAATTTGGCTATGTTCAGAGGATTAATAGAAATATTTGATATAAATTAAGGAATAACAAAATTATTTTTTACTAAGGTATTGGATCTCTCCTTAAACCGATCGAGTTAGCGGTCTAAACTGCAATTAAATTAAATAGAGGTAAATCTAGTAATGATTATTATTATTATTATTTTTACTGAAAACAATGTCATTTTAGTAAAAAAGCAAAGTGAAATATATCTCTTCATTAAAAAGTAAAACACATTTTAAATAGAATTATAATTAACTCATTATCTTTAATCAGTGATAGCATACTTCTATGTTTATCTTTATTTAAATAGGATGTCTTACATAAGGGTTGAGTTGCTTATTTTTCTAGAATATTTTTCAAAAAAACTCACTAATTGCATATTAAAAAAATAAACAAGCCGGATGAGGAGTGTCTTCTTTATCCTTATTTTACATTTTCCTTCACTACTGTTAGATCAAAACTTTTTAAGAGTTCATATTTAATTTTTTATAAAATTATTACTATTATTTCACATAAAATATATAAATAAAATATTATAAATTTAAATTGTTTAGATCAAATTTTAATAGTTTATATTTATTTATAGACTTTTATATAAAATTAAAATAATAAATTTATCAAACACTAAATTATAACAGTTAAAATTTTGATCCAACAATGAAGAAAAAGAATAAAAAAGAGCATAAAGGAAAGAGGAGGCACTCTTATCTCAGAAATGTCTTATATTTATTAAGATCTAATTAAAAATATATATATATATTAACTGAGGGAGTGTATATATATATAATTCAACTTATTATTTAAAACTCATGATGAAACTGACTAGGGGGTAAATTCACCGATTCAGTAATTTTACCAGCCAAACCGCATTAAAATTTTAATAGAACTGAAATTGTGAATTTATAAATTTTATGAAGTTAATCTTTTTAAAATAGAAAAAAATATTTTATATTTTATAAAAAATAATAAACTGAGCCGAAATTTTTTTTAAAAAAATTCACATAAACGTTTGAATCTCAGTTCTTAGAATTTCAATACCATGCTTGGCACTGTACTGAAATCCTCGCAGGTCAAAGGTATAGGCCTACCAGTGATAGTGCTGGACGACGAGCCCATTGAAGACGCCATGAACTGGAAGAAGCTTCTAGAAGCAGCAGACCGAGCCGGCCAAACCGGTCCAAGAGAACCCATCTCACAAACCGACCTCTGTGCCATGCCTTTCTCCTCAGGAACCACCGGACTCTCCAAGGGCGTCATGCTAACTCACAGAAACCTCGTCGCCAACCTCTGCTCCACCCTCTTCGGAGTCGAACCGGAGATGGTGGGTCAGGTCACCACCCTAGGATTGCTTCCCTTCTTCCATATCTATGGCATCGCCGGAATCTGCTGCGCCACGCTGAGGAACAAAGGGACGGTGGTGGTGATGGGCCGATTCGAACTGAGAAGTTTCCTGAATGCTTTGATAGCTCACGAGGTCATGTTCGCTCCGATCGTGCCTCCGATCATTCTGAACTTGGTGAAGAATCCGATCGTGGATGAGTTCGATCTCTCTAAGCTCAAGCTTCAGGCCGTTCTCACGGCGGCGGCTCCTCTTGCACCGGAAGTTCTCACAGCGTTCGAAAATAAGTTCCCTGGTGTTCTTGTTCAGCAAGTTAGCCAGCTAATTCTATTTCTACTTACTGGTAAAAATAATATAAAAATTACAACTTTGAACCCCAAATTTGGGTATAAATGTAGGCGTATGGACTAACAGAACACAGCTGCATCACACTGACGCACGCACACAGAGGATTAGCGAACTCAAAGAGGAACTCAGTGGGCTTCATACTCCCAAATTTGGAAGTGAAGTTCATTGATCCTGACAGTGGCAAGCCCCTCCCAAGGAACACTTCTGGCGAGCTTTGTGTGAGAAGCCAGGCCGTCATGCAAGGTAATGTGTGTGTATTAATGCTGTTAGCAAAAGCCCATCCCTCTGTGTGGATAGCTCTCTCTCTTTAACATTGGTCTCTCTCATGTCTCCACATTATCTATCATAGCCATCTTTTTAACTTTTTTTTTTTTTTAATAAAAGCATCAATATCACATGCATGAGTCTAAATATGGGGATGGACTAGGCTATGTTTAGGTGAATCCAATAATGGAGTGTTAAGGGTAGGCTTGGCTTGCTTTAAAAGAATTTTTAATGTTTTTAAAAAAATATAAAATTTTTATATTTGAACAAAATTATAATTATTATATTTTAAAATATATTCTATATAAAACTAATATTAAGATCAAAATAATTAGATTTAAAATTATATATAATTAACAACTGTTAATTATTTTTACGTAATATTAAGTTAAAAATGAATTTTAAATTTTGAAAGAGAAATAATTAAAAAAATTGAAATGATAAAAATTTATCCAAAAATATTATTATAAAAATAATATAATTTATGATAACTCTAAACAAATAATATCATAAGATAAACATTTTCAACGGAGCATTTTAGGAGAAAAAAAATACAAAATGACATATTTGTGGGCCAAGTTTGACAGGGCTTGACCCCTACCCGATACTCGGTCCATAGTTTAGCCCGATGAGCTTAAATGGCTCTGGCTAAGCCAAACTTACCGAACTTTCAAGTTACATGCATAGAAATCATTTTAAAAAACTAACCTATTAAAAAATAGAGCAACTAACACTTATAAACCAACGATTAATTAGTACTGAAATGTGATCAAATGCATCACACTTCCTTGTTATAAGAACCTATATATTATGGCAACTTTTCATAGGCAAAATAATTTGGTTAAATTTAGTTAAAGCTTTTCGAGCTTCATCAAAAAAATTACATTCAATAAAGTTCATTGATCAGAAAAATTTGTTGAATTATAGTTAGGAAAAATCAAAATAAATGAACTTTTCAATGGAAAAACATTATATATAAATTCTGTTGATAAAGGATCTTATATATATCAAGGAGCATGAGTGAACAAAAAGACGTTTGAGTGATATCATCGAAGTGATGAAAGAAGCTAATGAAGGTGTGTGTTGTGGTTTCAGGTTACTACAAGCAAGTGGAAGAGACTGCACAGACAATTGATAAGAATGGGTGGCTTCACACAGGAGACATAGGCTTCATTGACGATGACGACAATGTGTTCATTGTTGATCGTATCAAGGAGTTGATTAAATACAAAGGCTTCCAAGTATGTCTTCTATTTTTCTTTAATCCACGCAAAGTTTTCTCCCTGTTCCATTCCTTCTTTTATAATTTAAGTGTTTATTTTTCTTTCGGTGTTTTCTGGGATAACAACAAAATAAACTTGTATGAATACATATTTTTTATTAGAAGAATCATAGTTAAGTCCCAACATATTAAATTAATGACACTTAGATCTTCGATGATTTATACAGTTACAAAAAGAAATCTCATATACAATTTAATAGTTATATTTGAAATTTAAATACCCTATTTTCATTTGCACTTGTTTAGATAGATATTTATAACTTATTTTTAAATTTTTTTTGCTAGGAACCTAAATATCATTAATTCAAAGTTTTGAACCTAATTGTTATTGTCTCTCTCTCTTTTTTATTTACTCGATTGAAATCTTGATATTGTCCATCAATGCCAACTCCTGCTGACTGCCAGTATATGCTACCAACAACATCTATTATTGTACTTAAAACCTATTTTAAAATTAATTTTATTAAGAAAATTTCTTTTCTTTTGTGTTTTTTAGATGTGGATTTTTTTTTTCCAAAACATGATGATTTCAACAATTATTTATTCCTTCTCCACTAAAATTTATTCTAGAAAATAATTTTCATCGCAAAACTGTTTTGATAACAACATACAAAATAGAAAAGAGAATCAAACAAGCCATAACTTTTTGTGCTTAAATATATAAAAGAAATGTAATAAATGGATGAACAATGCAGGTTGCCCCGGCAGAGCTAGAGGCCATTCTTCTATCTCATTCCTCTGTTGAAGATGCTGCCGTCGTGCCGTAAGCAATAATTAATTAATTAATTACATTCATACATATAACTATTAATTAAATCAAAGAATTTAATTTGACAATAATTAATTAATTAATTAATTAACAGAATAGCAGATGAAGAAGCTGGAGAGATCCCAGGGGCAAGTGTGGTGATGAGCCCAGGTGCTCAAGAGACTGAAGAAGACATCATCAAGTTCGTTGCTTCCAACGTTGCTAATTACAAGAAAGTGAGAGTGCTTCACTTTGTCGACTCAATCCCTAAGTCTCCTTCTGGCAAGATCATGAGGAGGCTTGTTAGAGACAAAATGCTTCATAACATGCCTTCTCACTCCACTAATCCTTCTCATTCAACATCGGCCTGACTTTTCATTTATATAACAATTTAGTTGGGTCATATCTGTCTCTACTATTAGTGGGATCTACTTGGAAACACTTGAAAGAAAGAAACTGAAAAAAAAAAAAAAAGATGAGTATGGAGAATAATGCTTTTTAAAGTTTAATGGAGTTTGATCACCTCCATGTTAGTATTCCCTATCTAAGTTTTCTTTTTTTGCCAACTATGTATTATTCTCTAGTCATGATGATCAATTAATCTCAATCAAATTATTGTGTACTATATCGATCATTTTGTCAATTTGAGGAACTTTATCAATTATTTTTTGAAAATTAAAACAGATGATTTTTTTTCCATAGCGAAAAACATCCTTTAAAGGATACTGTAAGATGGATATGTATGTGTGTTTCAGTATCGTAATATATATGAGACCAGTTTCACTGATTGAAATATACTCTTTCAAAAGATTATAATCAACAAACAACTTAGATCTTGTTTAATTTCTGTTTTTAAAAACAAAATAAAAGATTACTTGGATAAATATCTTAGATTTAAATGTTTTGAAAAACTGTTTTCATTTATTTTATAACATACTATATTTGATTATTATAAATCATCTTCAGTCATAACCGATCACTATCATATGTTATTATCATGAATCGTTAGCAACTACCACTATCAATTGATGCCAATACTTGTTATTATTATTTTTTTTTTTTACCAGAGTCAATACTTGCTAGTTAGTTGCTCAACTCTCACTGTGAGTCTTGATAACATAGGAGCACTTGTAAAGGAAACCTTCCAATTCAACTTTGGGCCAAAAGAAAACCCAATTACATTATCTTCTGCTGAGAATGAAAATAAGAAGAATAATTAAAAACAATATAATATCAATTAAACTATGGAAGAAAATCATGACACCCAAACCTATCGCACGTGATATTCTATACGTGTTAAAGTTGTTCTACATATTTTCTTTTGATAAAACCTCAGCTTATCTTGTTATAAAAAAAAAAAAAAACAGCTTACTTTCGCCGCCTTTGGTGTACACAACAACAGTACGATCAGATTGGCTTTCGGTTCAGTGACAACTGTAATTTGACGGTCGGCGATGCGGAATGGATTCCATGCTTCTTCCTCCCAAAACGTCACCGTTTTCACATTTTCTTTCTTTTTGTTAATCTTTTCATACATTTTTAGACAAAATAACAAATACTAATAAAAACCATTAAATATAATTTAAGATAAAAATATAAAATTTTAAAAATACTCTAAATTCAATACTCCATTTATAAAAAAATATTAAAAAAAGAAAATACATGATAAAGATAATATTGTAAAAGCATCATTAATAAAACTTTATTTTTGTTAAAGTATTTTACATTCTAGAACATTAAATTTTTTTCAAAAGTGTCTTATGATTTGAGTCAAAGGTAGTATCATATTTGAAAAATACTATTTTTAGTTCCTACACTTTACTTGAGTTTTGATATGGGTCTATGCATTTTGTTTTTTGTGTTTTAAGTTCCTATACTTTTCTTTGTCTGTAACATTAGTTTCTATATTTTCAGAGGAATCTTGACATGGCTCAAATGGTGTTAATAATGATAACATGTTAATTAACACCGTTAATTTTGTGCTTGTCAAATTGATGACGACATGAAATTTTTCAATAAGCAAAAATTAAAAAAAATCTACATCAAATGAAATAAAAAGGCTGAACTCTTTAAATGATTAGCAAAATGCACAAATTCTATGTCGGCTTTTTTAAAAAAAATTATTAAAATTCTTATGTTAACATCAATTTGACATGGAAGCAAAAAATTAATGTTCTTAATTCACATGTTAATATTATTAATACCATTTATACCATGTCAATGTCTTTATAAAAATGTATGGACTAACATTGCATATGAAAAAAAAATATAAATCTGAAATACTGAAAACAAAACCTAAGTATTATATCAAAATTCAAACAAAATATAAGAATTAAAAGTAGTGTTTTTGCTCTCATTTTTTTCACTCCATCCTCCATAAGACCATAATGTGTATCTCATTCTCCCATGTACTTATGTCGTGTCGTCCTAGCAAAGTATAATATTTTAAGGTTCGTTTAGCATTGATGGAAAATTCCATGAAAAATATGAAAATATGAAAAATCCCATGCAAGTGAGGTTTTTGACTTTTTGTCCTTTTGTTTTTTATCTTACCCTTTGACAAAACCCAATTCCAGCCACAGTTCTTCTGACCTTAACCTTAATCAGAGCAACCAAACGCGGGATGGAAGATGGCAGCGATGATGAAGCTGAATGATAATTGTGATAAAAAATAAACATATATATATTTTTAAAACTCGAAGCCATGATCATCTCTATATTTATCTTCATTTCAATTTCCACCAAAATATATTTCGACGTGCCAAAACAGGCAGCAAAAAGGTCAAGCAAATGAGAAGTTATAACGTGGCTACATTGAATTGGAAAGGCCAAAAATGATGAATGACCATGATTACACTTTTTACAACCACCCGCACTTGATTGTGCCCAAGGGAGCAAATAACGAACACTTTACAGCCCTGCCTCTGCGATTTTGCGATTCTTTGCCTCTGGAGTGGTCCATCAGACCATCACTCTCCCATGATACGCTTGCTGCATCTTCTCCTTTGAGAACCCCTTTCATGTGATAATTTAGAAAGTCAATGAGTTTTTTTTTTTAAGGAGACAAAAATAGAAGACAAATTAATTAAAAAAATGGTAAGAGAGATAAAAAAAGAGAAATGAAGGTGGCATCTTGATGGTTTTTTAAAAAAATAAAATTGATAATTTCAGAAAAGAAAAGGAGAGAATTACATGTAAGTTCTACTTAACACAATTAATTACTTTTAGATCCATTGATGACTAAGTTTAGAAGTATTTTCTTATCTTTATAATTTTATTTTTTTATGAATAATTATAATGAATTCAGATTCTTCAAAAAAAAAAAAGAGAATATTTTATATATGAGATGTTAGCTTCTTAAGAAGTCGATATACAATTTGCTTCACTTTTATACTTTATGAAAAGTTGAAATTTTTTTAATGCCGCGGACGTAAAAGGCGTCGTCCTTTGATTAAAACCTTGCATTAAACATTAATTGAATTGGATTTGTTGATAAAAGTATACGTACATAAAAATGATAGTCCTGTGAGGAATTCTTACACAAATCCTAGTATACCACGTCATTGGTATTTTTTATATCCAATAAAAATATGCCATTATATATAGTTATAAATATAAATTGATTCTTTTATTGATGATAATAGATAAAAAATATAAAAATTAAAAAGATATCTATTCCAAAAATAAAATCATTAAAAATAATGACATATAAGATTTTAATTAAATAAAATAGTACAATTTTATTGGATAATTTACAAATGACATGATGTATCATGTTCACGCAAGAATCTCTCGTGCTATTAATAAAATGCTATTTTTTGAACTAAAAATTATAAAGCATTTTTAATTAATTTCTACCTTGAGGAAAAAAACTAATACTCCTTCCAATCTTTAATATAAAATAAAATTAACTAACTTCACTCTTATTAAGAAAGGATAATTATATCTTTAAAATTGTTAAAATTAAAAAATATATAATTTTTTTAATTTCAATCTTCTTTGTAATTAATAACCATAATAAATTGTTATTTAAAAATTTAAATAATGATAAATAAACAAGCGTTAATATTAGAAAAATAACTTTGCCTTATATCAAGGATTGAAGAAGTTTTTAAACTTTGTCTTAATGATAGAATAAAGTATCATTAGAAATTACACAGGGGCTGTTTGAAACTGTTTTTATTTTATTATTTTAAGAACTAATATTTTGTAAAACATGTTTTAAAAATAAAAAAATAATAAAAATAGGTATTTTCTTCATTCTCCCTGGTTCTCCAGAATAATAATCACAGAATATCTAAAAATTATTTTTATTTTTCTATTCTCCAAAATAATATTTTATTTTTTTATTTTTCAAAATATTTTTTGAAAACACATCATCAAACAAATTTTTTTATTCTATTGTTTTGGAGAAAAAAAAAAATGTTCTTATAACATGTTTCCAAACAAACCCATATTCTTTCTATATCTGTTTTAAACTTTGCCTTATATTATTGATCGAAGAGAGTATCATTGAAAGTTACATATTCTTTACATACCTATTTGTTTTTTTTTCTTTTTTTGTAAAATCGTTCCATATCTATCTTTATTTGATAGGATATCTTATTTTCAAATAGTTATAAAAATCTCATTAATTTTATTTGCTAGTGAAATTTTTGAAGAATATCATAAATTTTAAACATGATACTTAAAAAAAAGCTTTATAATCTTAGTTCTTAAACAAAGGTAGTGCATTTGATAAATACTATCTTTGATCATTATTATAAGTTATTTTCAACCATTTTATTTGAACTAAAACATTAAAAAACTTCAACTTTATCCCTATTAAAAAGAGAGAGAAATACAATATTCAAGGAGTGATATAGAAACAATAAATTAACAAATTTTCCTTTTGGCTATTTGCTAAAAAATTTAATTAATGCTTCATCTGGATCATAATATAGAGCATTTTTTAAAAACTCTGCTTGGGCTAAAATATAAAGCATTTGGAAGAAATTATTGCATGAACTCGATGTATCATGTCATTCATGGTTTGTCAATAAAAAAAAAATCACGTTAGATGACTGTAAATATAAATTTATTTTGTTGTCATTAATGATGATATAGAAAGAAAAAATAAAAAAAATAAAAAACACTATATTCATTAAAATATTTATATATAAAATTTAATTTGATTTAATTAGCGTAACATATCATATTTTTATTGAACAAGCTATAGATCACACGGTACATGGGATCTAAGCAGGACTTTCTTGGGAATTTGATAGGTTATATATATAAAAATATAACTAAACCCTTAATTTGTTATAATTGTGTTTAAAAAAATTAATGATAATATTTTAAATAAGTCAACTATTGTACTTATACCATTTAAGGGTATGATTGAAAATATATTAAAATTTTTAGAACATTAATATTTTAACTAACTTTTTAAAAAAACATGAATTAATTAATAATAATTTATATTATGGTAGAGAAAGTAATTTTCTATATGACTTATATAAGGAAGTGCTCCCTTCATCCTAAATTATGAGAAAATTTTAGATATAATTTCATATATTAATAAATTTCATTAAATAAATATAATAACCTTATTTTTTAAAACAAAAATATAAATTTTTAAAAATAAATTTCATTTAATATATTAAAAATAAAAAAGAATGAAAACTAAATAAAAAATATAATATTTTACTATTTATTAAAATTTTAATTTTTTTAAATAGTTCGTATTTTGAGACGTGGTATCTTTTCAAGGATATTTTATAATTTGAAAAGGTGGACTACCTTGTAACAAGTACACGAGGGCAGGTAAATTAGAAAGTTGGGAAACCATATAAAAAGTTACAATTTCCAGTGGAAAAGAAGAATTCATTGATTTCCACGCTCGCCGTTTCTTATTTAAAAAATGATAGAAAAATTTTAAAAAAATTAATTAATTTAAATTAAATTTTAAATGTTAAATTTTATAAATTTACAAATTCAGCTTTTGATTTTATAACTTTATTATAATAAATTTATAATTTATTTTTAAATTTTAATATGATTAAAAAATAAATAAATTTATTTTTATTAAAATTTAAAGTATAAGTTACAAATTTATCATAATAAAATTAATTTTATAAAATTAAAAATTAAACTTATAAATTTTTAAAATTTGACGCTGAATACCTCAGTTGAATTATTATGTCCTTCTCCCTTTCTTATTCTTATCAATTATTAATCACTACCAAATCACCGCCAAGTTATCCAAAATAAAAGAGTCACAGACAAATGAGTAAAATTATTGTTGATGAATGAAGAAAAGGACATTGGTCCAAAAAAAAAAAAAAAGAATGAAGAAAAGGACAAGAAAAGATGGGGTGCCGACTGGGACCCATATGTGTAAATTCCACTCCCATCTCTTCCCGTTACGGAGCATCCTACCGTTACAAACCACCTCCTCTGTTTATTTATTATTATTATTATTTTATTTGAACCTGCTCCCAATCCTTATAATTATCTTAAGCTTTGACTTAGTTGGATTAATTAGATGACAAGTTGCCTCAATAAGCTCAAATTCAGAACTCATGGCTAAGATAATACAATTCCTTACATTTTCATTTACTGCTTTTTTTTTTTCCCTTTTATCTACCGCGCTACTCATTTGTATAATCTTATTTACAAAAAATAACATATGCTTTAAATATTATACCAAACTTAAAAGTTTAGACACAAGATTAATGATTTATGAATACTGTGAGTTGTTAAATTTTTTAGATTATATAAAAATATATTAAAATAAATTAAGTGAGAAAAATTATCAATTTTAATTCGTTTTGAAATTAGAATATTTTGATTTAATCAATTTAATTTTAATTAAAATATTCAGTCTTTCCAACTTACATCTATATCTCCCTAATGCATCAAAATTTATCATTAATCTACGAACAATGTTTTTTTCAAAAGCACTGGATAAGTTCATTGATTTTTTCGGTGAGAGGAAATCTTATTTTTGTCAAATAGTGATATTAATTTTTTAACAAAATATATGGGAGAAATTAAAGTAAAAAAATTACTCCCTCCATTAAAAAATGTAAGACATTGTTAATCGAATCTTACCTTCCAATAAAGTAGTTACCTACTTTTAAACTAATCCTATCTTTTTATATTTATTCATATTAAACACTTTATAATAAATATAAAATCATTATCAATAAAGTTATTTTTGAAAAAGAAGATAATTAATTATATCTCGAAAGATTAAAAATACTTTATATTTTTTAACATCTAATTTCTCAAAAAATACCTTATATTTTTAAATGGAGGGAGTATCTTCTAAATGATAAATTTATATTTTGATGATTAAATAAATATTTCTCTTTTAAAATTAAAAAATATCAATTTTTATAATTTAGATCATTAATTTATTATAAACCTTTGCGTACCATTCACTTCTTTTTCTCGTTGATAATCGCCTTGTTTCATGTTATAAAGAAAAAATTTAGTTAATTTTTCAAATATATCCTCAAATTAATTTAGCAAAACAAACCGAGAAAGCAAGGCAAGTACCGTATGAGGATCAAGTCTAATTTGTTTTTCTTCTCAGGGGCATTTTAGGTACAATGATATTAATTTTACCTTCCACTTAAACATTATACAACACATCAACGGCTTCATTTCCACGCAAAAATAAATGTACGGTAAAACAGTAATTTTATTTTTCGTTCAAAAAAAAAAAACATTAATTTTATTCAAATTTAAGCTCCATTGCCCTCAGCCTCTCTCTCTCACAAGTGTTTTCCCTCTCTCTCTTGTGCATCGGCGAGACTGTCTGCTCCCTTAGCCTACAGGATAACTTAATCTGTGCATCTAGCTCACGCGCTCCCAAAATGCAGCTCCGGCCGCTCACCACCGTTGGGACTATGCTCCTCACGGTGTTGCTACTCGTCTCCGGCTGCATCACCAACGCACACAACATCACCAAAATTCTGGCCAAGCACCCTGAGTACTCCACCTTTAACCACTACTTGTCCCTCACGCACCTTTCTTCCGAGGTCAACCGCCGTACCACCATAACCGTCTGCGCCGTCGATAATGCCGCCATGAACGAGCTTCTTTCCAAGCATCTTTCCATCAATACTATTAAGAACATCCTTTCCATCCACGTTCTGCTTGACTACTTCGGCGCCAAGAAGCTCCATCAGATCACCAACGGCACGGCGTTGGCCGCCACTATGTTCCAGGCCACCGGAACGGCTCCTGGATCTGCCGGATTCGTCAACATTACGGACCTTAAAGGTGGAAAAGTCGGATTTGGTGCGGAAAACAACGATGGAACTCTCTCTGCTTATTTCGTCAAATCCGTTGAAGAGATTCCTTACAATATCTCTGTGATTCAGATCAGTAAGGTTTTGCCGTCAGATGTGGCGGAAGCGCCTACACCTGCGCCCAGCAAACAGAATATCACCGCCATTATGTCCAAGCATGGATGCAAAGTCTTCGCCGAGACGCTCTTAGCATCGGATGCGGAAAAGACCTATATGGACAGTCTGGACGGCGGATTGACGGTGTTTTGTCCCGCGGACGATGCTTTCAAGGCTTTTCTGCCGAAGTACAAGAACTTAACGAAGGCAGGGAAGACGGCGTTGCTGGAATACCACGGCGTTCCGGTGTATCAGCCCCTTGCTACGTTGAAGTCTAACAATGGCTTGTTAAACACATTGGCCACCGACGGAGCTAACAAGTATGACTTCACAGTGCAGAATGAAGGTGAAGAAGTGACTCTGAGGACCAAAATCACGACGGCGAAGATCACCGACACTCTAATCGATGAGGAGCCTGTGGCGATCTACGCTATTAATAAGGTCTTGTTGCCAAGGGAGCTGTTCAAAGCGGATGCACTGGCTCCTTCTCCTGCGCCGGCACCGGAGTCTGCAGCCGCCGACGCACCCGAACATCCGAAGAAGAAAGGAAAGAAAGCAAGAGCTGCTGCTCCTGCAGATTCAACTTCCGATTCAGACGCACCAGCTGATTCGCCGGACATTGCCGCAGACGACACGGCGGACGATAACGGCGCCGTTCTGTTTGACGGCTCCTTGTCCTTTACTGTGGCGGCGGCTTCCTTTTTCGGGTTCCTACTCCTGTGAGTTAAGTAATGAGATGCTTTTATTTATTTCATGATTCATTCACTTTTTGAAGGCCTTTAATTAGGAAATGATGTAGAAAAACTTTATAGTTATGTATTTTTTTTCTTAATTTAATTTTTAAATGTGAAATTTTATTTATGTGGAAAAGAAAAATTGTTCAATGTTGTGAGCTTGTGATTCTTAATGTAAACTTGATTCATCAGTTGTCATTTGCGGTGGTTGGCACTGTAGAACTATTTTGGTGTAAAAAAAAAAAGAAAGGACACTGTATAACTATTTATATATATATATATATGTATGTATGTATGTATGTATTTATAATCTTGATACTTTACATCTGATGAGCTGCGTGATTGTCCGATTTTCTTGGGTTAGATAGATTTATTAGTTATTGGCAAAAAAAAGTTCAAGAACAACAACAGTGGTATATAAATTACGCAGCTATCTACTTGTTAGAAGTACTGTTTTTGAGTTGTATGATTCAACTAATTATATTTAATTATTTTAGTAGTCTAATTATTTGAAATTAAATTTGAATTGGAGGGAGTTTGAGAGGTGGCTAACATTAAAAACGTAATAAAACACATAACAGCACGTGAAACGTTGTTTTTGTTACATTGTTAGATAAGAAAGTTAAATTTATGACTAATTTGTATCACTGTGTTTTTACCAGCTTGGATGTATCATAGTTTATTATATCATAATTTAGTCCATTTTACATTTTTAGGTTGTATAAGGAATCTCGATGTTATGATGAAATAGAGAACGCAAAAAAGTGAATTCCTAATACGGTAAAAGTGTATTCTTAATATGGTAATTCTCTTTTTAATTTTTTTTTTGGCTTGCAAAAGAAGAAGCAAAATTTTATTAACTATAAACTGCAGCACAAAGTGTCAATTGTCAAAGGCCATCATCATCAACAATTTAACAATTGGCTTAATTGGAAATGAGTTATTCCAAAATCACAGGTCTTGAAATCGAGCTTTAAATGCAATAGCATTGGTAATATAGCTTTCACCTGAGAGAGTCTCATATCAACTTGATTCAAATTAATTTGAGCTCTTATTAAAGATCTTTTAACATGATATGGGGCGGGTTTAAAATATCGGATGCTACCCCAAAAAAAGTCCATCATCATCAAAATAAGCAAATAAAAACATGGAAAAATTATCCCCCCCACCCAAAAAAAAAGAAAACCTTGCCAAGATTTGATTTGCGGATGAGTTGAATAAATGTAAGAAAGTTGGCCTTTTTTGGCATTAAATCATACCTACATAATGATCACTTTGCCCTTATTACATTTGAAAGAAAAAAAAAAAGCACTCAAAGCTCTTCGTTATATGCAAACATTCAATTTGTATATATAATTTATCTTCCTTCAGATGCAATTTATCACTGGTGCAAACACCATTAAACATATGTCGATGGTCTCCATGTACATGTAAATATTTTTAAGGAAATGCAAACATTTTTCATGAGAGAGCAACTAAACCATGTATATTCAAGAGGTTTTTCCTCTGATGTAGGGGACTCCCTCATGCAAAATTCTTTTTTATATGTGAACATTTAGTCCATAGATGCAAAACATTTTCTTTTGGGTCAGTTTTATCAGAGGGTGTAAACACCATCAAATATATGCAAATGGTCTCCACGCATATGCATACATCTTAAAGGGAATGCAAACTTCTTCTATAAGAGAGCAACCAAGCCATGCATATGCAATATATGTCTCTCTAATGCAATATCCTATTTGCATATGAAGTCATTTTCCATGAATGCATGTAATTTGAGCTTAAAGATCACCATTTATTCGAATATACTTTGTGGTTATTATGAAAAACTCAATACTTCTTGTATGTACATGTGAAAACTGGTTATATATGATTGAAGAGTTATTGTATTTAGCTGAAGATGCCTTGCATATAGGTTAGGAATGCTTTAGCCTCAATGTCAATCATTTTTTTTAGGATATTTGACCACTATATTCGGGTAAATGTTGCATTCAAGGAGCAACTATGACAATTTATTTCAATAAATGTTAGTTTTTTATGATAATCGTCTGAAATGTTCTAAAATTTTAACAATTAGTAATGTTACTAAGTTTCTGTGTCTTCAATTTTTAAAATAACCATAAAGATATTTATGTATATACATATAATAGCAGAGCCTATATAATACATATTTTTATGATAATCATAAAGGATATTTGAATATATATGTATAATAACATAATTTGTATTTAACAACAATTGACATCCTATACAAATCCTCATTTCTTGAACTTTGAATACAAGGTACATAATCTATTTTTCTATACAAAGCAAAACAAGTTGATGGACATGAAATATACAAAACATGGGCTCAAACATTTCTTCATATTGCCACTAAAATGATCATCATCTTCACCTCACTAAAATATTTTTTTGTCAAAATTTGACTTTAATACAAAATATACATTTTTATTTGGTTCTTTTTGCTCCACGACATCCACTCCCTCATTAGCAACCCCAATATATTTCTAACTAGCCATCCATGAATCACTAATCTTACATTTCTTATGAATATTGCAGATGTTGTAGGGTCAATACATCTAATTATTTTTGTATAGATAGTATGGTGTAGTTTTATGCACTTAACATCTAAAGTCCTACCAAACCCAATTTTTTAACCCTCTCCTTTAAGTTAAAACAAAAATTAAACACCAACAAATTCATTTGTCATTAAACAATAACATATTTGTACATTCTTTGACAGTATAAACTATATTACATTACAACAAGATAATACAATAATTTATATTGTTTACCAAACACCTTTAGGTGCAAGTGAACAAAATTTTCATAGTAAAAGTAAGGAGGTCTAATGTCATTTTCTTTCACATTTTCTTGAATTACTTTGGAAACCAATTTTTTTAGAAATTCTCATTCCAACAAAGTGATCAAACATCTTAAAATTTGATGAGGTTGCTTCCCTATTCTAGTCATAACTATCACTCTTCAAACCAAATTTATCCCCATCCATCTTCAGTCTCTCAACAACAGTTCTCATTTTGCTAATCCTTAATTTATAAAAGAAGAAAAAACAATAAGTGAGTAGAACATAAATTTTTCAATGACAATGAACATAAGAGGATTTGATCAATACTTACAAAAACAATAGATATTACAATAACTTTTTATTTTTATTATGAAAAAGGTTCACTAAAAGTATCACCAGAGCACTTTGAAATTATTGTATGGGAGTCATAAAATTTGACGTAGCTTTAGATCAAAATCAAAGTAAATGACTATTGACTAGTGACTTGTTTCTACATTCATTATCGAGAAACTACCCACCACCTCACTTAGAGAGTAATTTGTATAACTAATTGGCTTCTTTGGAAACAACAAGAAACCATTCACAAACAAATTTAATATGAGATGCTACCATGCAAGTAATATAATAACAAGAAACCATCAAATTTATACAATCAAATCAATAGGTGCTTAAGAGTTTAAAGTGCTACTTCATGAAGCATATCAAAACAAAGGAATTCTAGCATAGGTGAATTGAGAGAATATATACCCTTTCAAGTTTTAAGTTTCATTTGCAAGAAAAGGAATAAAGAATTTTGAAAAAAAAAAATATCTTTGTAGAAGTATGAATGAACAATTGAACATATCCTTCACATGATTTACATATGATTCAAATTACAAAGCATGTTTAAATGCTATTTGCAAGATCAACCATATTCAGGATAAAACAATTTCAATAGAAACATGTTTAAATTACAAAGTAAACATAATTACAAGATAAATCATATTCCCTTAACCAAAGGTACAACACCCCATAATAATCCAAACACAAGGCCCAAGGCATGTCAAATCTAGTGTAAAATATTTCCCAATTGATCATATTTCAGGATGCAAAGACATAAATGGTTATTAGCTTCCATTCAATTACATAGAACAAAATAGCAACACTAATAGCTAAAAGGAGACGTGTAATGACTAAATTGTGTGCGCGCGCACACACATATATGTTTCTAAACCCTTCAAAATCTAAATTACCCAAAAGTATCAAAACAAACAAACAAATAAAAAAAATTGACAAAAGTAAACTTAAAAGAGAAAAAAAGGAGGAGAAAGTGATGAGTTAATTGAAATCTCTAGTAAAACAAAACGTTTGGAATCAAATAATGAAGGTAGAGCTTGTCTAGAACAGACCAATATCAAATGAAGATGCAATGGCAAACAAGATTCAACAACTCAATTATCGAAGACACAATCAACAACAGTGGTGGTGCAATTCTCACACTAAAACAACACTTGTGAACACATACTCACTCTCCTCGATGACTGTTGGAGAGACACTGTTGAGGCAAACAATGAGATGGAGAAGCACTTTCTCACAAGAAGAGAGAATATGGGAGATTTTGTTAGAGAAAATGTAGTCATTTGGTCTAGTGAATTAATGCTAGTGAAGAACCTCACTTTGGAATCTCTCTCAAGTCCTTCTAAGCAAACTCAAATCTAGTCAAGTTTTTTTAAGTAATTTTTCCTAAAAACATCTGGGCATATGACAAGGAAAAATAAAAAATGGCAATCTTTGATAATTTGATAGTTCAATTATGGCCTTCTTTTATTAATATAAGACATACTCTCCTTAATCTTTAATATATGACACTTTCAACCCTCAATTCTGGCCTTCTTTTATTAATATAAGACATACTCTCCTTAATCTTTAATATATGACACTTTCAACCGTTTTATATATATTAAAAAAAGTTAGTTTTTTAATATCATAAAAGAAGTTAAATGTGTTTTTATTTTTATCCTTAACTTTAAATAATAATACAATTATATTGAATACATTTACGTTAATCAATAAAGAGTAAAATTATAAAAAGATATTTAATTACTATAAGATATTTTATATTTTAAATTAAAAATTATTTTTTAAAGATATCCTACAAATAGGATTGGGGAGAATACTTAACTAACCCGATGTTTATTAGGAAGGGGTATTTATATTTATATTATTAAAATTTTTAAAAAGTATTTAACTTTGAATTTTTATCATTTTTAACAATTAATAACCATAATAGTGAGTGTAATTTTCTAATTTTACCCTTCTTTGAATTTATTATATCAATCTTAATATTGAAGTAATTTCAATTATGATTAGCAGTTGTCAGATACTAGTGAATGTAAGAAATCAACCAGAATTG